ATGGCGTGGAATCAGTGAGCTTCTCTTTGATTGTGCCCTTGCGCATGTAGATGGCTCGCATGGTGTTAGCCCAGACACCTGTATCATGATTCACCCGCCACCAAAGCTTGATCGATTGGTTCTGTTGAAGTGTTTGAAGATCCTTAATATCAAGCCCACCAGCGCTTGAGGGTTGACAAAGATGTTTCCAGCTCTTCCACTGGTGTAGTTGGTTGCCGTGCCTTCTTCCCCAAAAGAAATTGGCCATCCTAGTATGAAGAAGATTGATGACTGCCACCGGGAGGGAGTGCACGGCTAGAATATGTAGTGGGATGGACGAGAGAACATGCTTGATGAGAATCAGGCGTCCCATTTGGTTCAGTGTTTTGCTATACCACGAGTGAATATGCTTGTCAAAGTGATCCATCAGGCTGCCACAGTGGTGTTTTTTAAGTTTCCCTTTGCAGATGGTAGCTCCAAGGTAGGTGAAGGGTAAGGATCCTAAATGCATGCCCAGGATTTTCTCCATGTTCTGCAAGTGGGTACTGTTTGTGGTTTTTTTTACGTAGAACTTGCTCTTGGCTGAATTAATGACCTGACCAGAATCTGAAGAGTATTCATCCAGCAGCTTCCTGAGTTTGAGTAGATTGATGGAGTCACCTTTAGTAAAGATCATTATGTCATCAGCATAGGTGAGGTGCCCTATAAACTTCACACTTCCCATGTTGTAAAGCTGGATATGGGATTCATCCATGCTTCTGTTAAGTAGCCGAGACAAACCTTCACTTGCAATTATGAAAAGAAGAGGCGAAAGAGGGTCGCCTTGCTTGACACCCCTAGTCATGGGAAAGTAGCCCGCAGGTTGCCCGTTAATGAGGACTGAGAGCATACTGCCTTTTAGGTTAGCCATGAGAAGGCTAGTAGCTTTGTTGCTAAAACCGAACCGAAGAAGAACCGACTCCAGGTAGTCCCACCGTAGGGTGTCAAACGCCTTGGCCATGTCAATTTTAATGATGACGTTTCCTCCAAACGTTTTCCTGTTCAAGTTGTGCAAAGCTTCCATAGCAAGGAGAATGTGGTCAGACATGCACTTCCCTTTTTGAAACGCTGCTTGATTGTTGGAGATAATCTTGGGGAGGATGATTTTTAACCTGCAAGCTAAAATCTTTGTATTAACTTTGCTCATAAAAGTACTCAAAGAAATGGGCCTGTAGTCGTCGAAGCTTTTAGGGCAATCCTTCTTAGGGATTAAAGTAATAAGGGTGCTTCCAAAAGCATGGGGGATGGCGAACCCTAAGAAGAACTCTTGGGAGGCTTTAAGCATATCTTCCTTGATGATATCCCAAGTGGTTCTAAAGAAAACCCCGTTGTAGCCGTCAGGTCCTGAGGCACTGTTGCTGTCCAGATTCCAAATAGCATTTTTGACCTCCTCCAAGGTGGGGAGGGCAGTAAGCATGGTGTT